GACTTCAGCAGCCAAGTACTCCATAACGGCAGCGAGGTACACAGGGGCACCAGCACACACTACTTCAGCATAGTTGCCCTTACGCAGAAGGCGGTGAATCCTACCGACGGGGAACTGAAGGCCGGCCCTGCTTGAGCGGGACTTTGACTTGCCTTTACCTTACCGCCCTTACCACGACCAGACATTTGATAGTTTGCTATGACTTTGCTCAAAAGAATCAAAAATCATAGTTGCGACGGAAAGCTTGGTATTTATAGGTGGCTCCAGGTGAAACGGTCTCATGGACATGTGGCAATGCGGGATGGCGGGATTGAGCCAATAGCGTGGCCCACGCTTTCCTTGGCCATCCGAGGCTGGCGCTGGTGGTGCACTATAAAAGGAAAAATCATAGTTTGGAGTTTATAGCAATACCTCTTGCGAGTGTTGTCAATCATGCCACCCAAGACTTCCGGAAAGGCTGCCAAGAAGGCCGGTAAGGCCCAAAAGTCTATCACCAAGGGTGATAAGAAGAAGAAGCGCAGGAGGAAGGAGAGCTACAGCATCTACATCTACAAGGTGTTCCCACCCTGACACCGTATCTCCTCCAAGGCCATGTCCATCATGAATTCTTTCGTGAATGACATTTTGAGCGCATTGCCGCTGGGCTTACTACAGCGTTCCACCCATCCACATCACCAGCCGGGAGATTCAGACCGCCGTCAGGCTTCTGCTCCCCGTGAAACTGGCCAAGCACGCTGTCAGCGAGGGCAATCACCAAGTACACTTCCTCTAAGTAAATTGCTTCGGTTGCTCGGTTTTTCCGGTCTCCTACAACAACATCGGCTCCTTTAGGAGCCACAGAACATGCAAAAGTTGATAGAAATGACAATTAACCAATTTGCCTTGTGCATTCTTTCAAGTACAGTAATATCAACATTTATATATCAATGTAATATTAGTTAGAATCGTTAGATTTCCGAGTAAGGGATTCATTTTCATCGTTTTTACTGAAGTGTGTGTGTGTTTGTCTGTATGATTAAGGATAGAGGAAGTGTGTGTATGAAGAGAGAGAGAGAGAGATGAAAGCTGTGTGTGAATATATATATATAGATGTATAGAAAATATATGTGAAAGATATATATGCCTGTATATCATAGTAACATATATGTCTTCCATAATTAGAAATATACCACATGCATTTTTCATGACATATCAATGAATAGGGTATGTATTAATGTAAGAGACATGAGAGTGGGTGAATAGATTTATATTAGACATACACGTGTATATGTATACAGTTTTATATATATATAATTTCATATATTATGTATATAGTTAGACATATATACATACATTATATTATAATATATAAATATGTTGTAGGTGTGTGTGTGTATATTGATATAGATAGAGATAGATAGATAGATTTGTATAATTGTCAAGACATTATATTGATTTATAATATATAAAAAAAAGCATGTGTTTCATTCGATCTTCAATGTTATATAACATTATTATTATACACATTAAACAAGCAAACAAGATCAAATATACGGGGATATAACCACGTGCTTTAATGGTTGGCGCAAGCTTTGATTTGTAATTGTATATTTCTTAGTGTTTTTCTATAAAATATTATATGAAATAATCTTGGTTGAGGTAGTAGTTAGGTGGGGTGTTTGGTGATTGTAGTGTTTTTGGTGTGTAGGCAATAATCAATATAAAACAATAGTGTTCGTTGTGTGTTTGTTGAACTTTGAAGTCAGTCATTAACATATAGTCAATATTTTAGTCAGTCTGTTAGTCACATTATTATTTATATTTAGTATGAGATGTATGTTGAAGACAGTGTGTAGCTGTCTGTATGTCTGTTTGCCGGTCGGGTCGTCGATCACAAATATTACAATGTATATTGTTGTAGTATTTAATATTTGGCATAGTAGTCATACCGAAACGTATACGATAAGGAAATCAAGTGCGTGACAACATGTTGAAAGTCATTCATGCAATGGCTTCGTGCCTTACCTTACTAGTTGCATACCTATCTACTATCTATGCAATGTCATTGATTCTAATTCGTCATTGCTGGTTACATTTGACCATCAAAACTAAAGCAAAACAAGAAAAAAATAAAGATGTCATGTTTCATCTCAATATTGATTAGTTTAGGCCCTGAAAAGGGCCGAGGAGGATGTATTTTGATGTATGCAAGCAAGCTAGCAACCAAAAATCTTAGGCGCGCTCTCGCGCGGATACGGCGAGCAAGTTGGATATCCTTGGGCATAATGGTTACGCGCTTGGCGTGGATGGCGCACAGGTTGGTGTCCTCGAAGAGGCCGACCAGGTAAGCCTCGGAGGCTTCCTGCAGAGCCATGACAGCAGAGGACTGGAAGCGGAGGTCAGTCTTGAAGTCCTGGGCAATCTCACGGACGAGGCGCTGGAAGGGCAGCTTGCGGATGAGGAGCTCAGTGCTCTTCTGGTAACGACGGATCTCACGAAGGGCAACAGTACCAGGCCTGTAACGAATGGGGCTTCTTGACACCTCCGGTAGCAGGGGCAGACTTACGTGCTGCCTGTTGCCAGCTGCTTGCGGGGGGCCTTTTGCCTCCGGTAGACTTGCGGGCAGTCTGCTTGGTACGGAGCCATTGCGAATGATTGTTTGTTTGTGATAGAAAACAGTCTGGCCGGCTTTTCAAGAGCTGAATTGTATTTACCAGAGCGGGCTTGGCCGTGCGGAGAAGTGTGTGGCTGGCACAGTGTGCGTTGGCGCCGCCCCATTTCCCCG